GGTACTCCAGCTTCCTCCCACAGTCCAAAAACATGACTGTTAGCTTAATTGGCTTCTCAAAATTTTCCTTAGGTGTGAGTGTGTGCGTGAATGGTTGTTTGTCCTGTCTGTCTCTGTGTTGCCCTGCGATGGACTGGCGAGCTGTCCAGGGTGTACCCTGCCTCTCGCCCATAGCCAGCTGGAGATAGGCACCAGCACACCTCGCAACCTCACTTGGGATTAAGGTATAAAGAAAATGGATGGATGGATGTCTCAAAAATGTGTTTAATTATCTTGTGCAGAACTTCCTTGCTAAGAATTTGTTTGTTTTAGACAACTTAAAAATGACAAGAGTTCCTTTTCAAATTCTTGGAAATTTCACAATATTTCACATTAGCACTGTTAAGATTATTGAAATTTATAGTACAGCTCTTTGAACGAAGCTAAAAACTCTTTAATATAATTTTTACTAAAGCATGTCTTAAAAGTAAAATGTGAAACCTAAATATACATCCATCCACCCTTCTTCTCCCACTACATCTATCGTGGGGCCAGTGTTTTATCTCCAGCAGTCTATGGGAGATAAAACACTGTCTGTAGCAGGGCAACACAGAGACACATAACCAAGCACACACACACACACACACACACACACACACACACACACACACACTCACACACTCACACCTAAAGCCAAGAAACCTAGTAGTCATACTTTTGGACTGTGGGAGGAAGCCGGAGTACCAGGAGAGAACCCAATTTTCACAAGCTGCTTCATTGTGCAGCCCTAATCTAAATATAGAAGAAAGCTTTAAAAGACCTAAAACTCCTAAAGGGATTTGCCCATTTTCTGGGAATGGCAGTAACTCTTATTGTAAACTTCAAGATTCAAGATTCAAGAGACTTTATTGTCATTCACATCACGTGTTAGATGAGGTAAACGAAATTGAGCGTCACGGCCTCAGTTACATCCGAATATATAAAAAAATAATTTATAAAAACTAGCTACACTAGCTACTTAATTCATGCCACTATGGTGTTGGTTCTCGTTGGTACATTTCACCCATTAACCTTCATTCTATGGCCTGCAGGCCATCTGTCAGCTGCGCCTGTGTTTTTACACAGCCTGTGCTGTACTCATTTGTGTGTGTTTTTGCATACGAGGAAATGTGTTTCTTCCTTCTTTCAACTGTGCCTTGGTCTAACAATTTTAGAAGGTATGCACTGGGCCATCTTAATGTGTTAAAGGCGAGAACACACATTTGTAGATTAATTAAGGGAATTTCTTGCACTCAATGTGACACAAACATACACACACTCACATACAGCGTCTAACATGTGTTGCAAATTTATCAGACTGACAGACTTGGAGTGTGTACAAAAAGGGAATTCCTCCATCGGCACGCTCACTTTAGCTGCACATGTGCTCAGCAGCTGCTCCACACAAACACACAAGCAAGACAACAGAGGTGTTTTATGAAAAAAGGATGATAAACAGTAATTCTTAGGTTGTTCCACAGTGTCTCGTTCTGAGCATGGTCCTCCTGACCTTCCATCATGCTCTGAAAAAAGCCTCTAAAGAGCCACTGAGGAGGCTGCTGAGAGTGTGCCATATCAGGATAACACCCTTTCATGTTCCTCAGACATCACATCCTAAAACTCAATGGTGAATTGTTTACCCACTCTTAGTGTCTCAAAGGGTATTCACATGTGCTAGTTGCTCCCTTGAAGGTCAACTGCGTGTGATTGCAATGTGCTACATGAGCTCCAGAAGTGGTGAACTTGTTTGGCATGTAAATGCTGCATCAACATGTTTTTCTTTTTCCTGACTCTCTGTTTCTTTTGTTCCCCAGGATGTTGGAGTACTCACTAAACCTGCAAAACGTTAGCTTTTCAGCAGTGAGAACAGTTCGCGTGCTGAGACCGCTGAGAGCCATCAATCGGGTGCCAAGTGAGTGCAGTTTTCTCACCCTTTTCACACTAATTTTGACCTTGCCTCTGGGGTTTATTTCAATTTGTCCTCTGATAGCTCAAGAACTTTGTTTTTCCCTGGAGACAGACACAATTTGGTTTTAAACTATTCCCAGACTGCTCTGTTTAAAACCATAATAGTTACAAACAACAGATTTTGCATACTTTCACTCAAAATAATTTAGTTGTTTGTGGTGTGCTGGTATCAGAAACCTTTTTGATCAAATGTTGGTTTATTACCTGCCAATATATTTTCCATAGTAGCTATTACATGGTAAATCAAAAAAGGTAGAATATTGTTAATATTATAGGATGTATTTTAATAAAGTGATTCCGCATTTGTACCATATATACATTTACTACACAGTGATATATTTCTGAACTTTATTTTTGTTCCTTTTGATGAACATGTATCTGTATTTATTTTCCAAAAATTGGAGTACCACATAGGCAATTAAGGTTTATTTATTAATACTGCAGTGCCAGTCGACTAATGTGCATGTACAGTATATATTACCGCATGCTCCTATTATTCTCCTGAGTTAATGCGGCGTGTTAAGGAGTTCAACAGCCTGTGCCTCTGCAGTGGTGTGAAGGAAGCCCAGGTTGCTTTATTAGTGTCCTTTAGCTTCTCTGCATTGTTGGCTCTTTCATCTCTTTCACTTGGCAACACTCCACAGACTCTTTATGGGGTTTAGGCCAGCCCAGTTTCCTGGGCAATCTTGCTCAGCGATATTATGGACAATCAAGCAGGTCTCTGTATTCCTTGGTACGTCTGGATCTGATTCAGACTTTGGCAGTTTGAGCAGGGTCTAGTCATGCATAAAAATGAAATAATCATCTCTATAAAGCTTGACAGCAAAGGGAGGCATTAAGTGCTCCAATAGAGCTGACCGACACCAGTAGATGGCGTGACTCCCCAAACCATCACTGACTGTGAAAACTTCACACTGGTTCAGCAACAATGTGGATTTTACGTTTCTCCATTAAAACTTGAAAAAACAAACTGTACCTTCATCTAAAACAGAGGAGTTTAGACCGATGTGGAAAAGTTTCATTTTCTTCTTCTGCCTGGACATTTTTCAAAATACTGTCAAAGATGTTCGTAGCATTGGCAACTTTTGGAAAGACTTGTTGGTACCCCTCATTTATTGAAAGAAATACTCACAATGGTCACAGAAGTAATCTGAATCAGGCAAAAGTAATAATAAATTAATATTCTATGAAAATGTACTACAAAAGTCATGCAATGCTTTCAACCATGCTTCAAATGAATAACAAACTAATAAACAAATGAAACAGGGCTGGACAAAAATGATGTTATCGCTTGAAGTGACATGTTAAATCAAGGTCTCATAAGTTTGTGGGCATATATATGGGGCAAGAGATAGTCAATGTGCTGTTTGGTGACATGGTGTGTACCACACTCAACATGGACCAGAGAAGGCAAAGAAAAGAGCTGTCTCAAGAGATTTGAAAGAGGATTATAGACAAGCTTTTAAAAGTAAAGGCTATCTCCAAACAACTCAATGTTCTGAGAATACAGATGCATATATTATTCAGAAATTTTAGATCCATGGCATTGTCGCCAACCTCCCTGAATGTGGCCAAATGAAGGACATTGGTGACAGATCAATGAGAGGGATTATACGACTGCTGAAAGATGCAGTCTGGAAAAAACACTGTTCAAGCCTGAAACAACTGGAGTCAAATAGTTAAGTTAACTCAGTATGCAGTTAGTTCCTCTAGGGTTGTCTTAATCATGTAATTATATGATTCAGGTATGCTGAACCAAAGGCACTTCTAAAGGTTGCAGGATACCGGCCCTCAGGAACTGGATATGCCCACCCCTGGCTTTTATAGTACCTGCTAAGATGAGCAGATGTCTCATTGCCAGTTATAGCAATCACCTGATTGCTTCAAAATGTTGCGTAACAAAATTAAGTTAAGGGTGCCATCATTTTTGTCCAGGCCTGTTTCGTGAGTTTATTTTTTTAAACCACTCTGTTTAAGTGTGGTTGAAAAACAATGTCTGACTTTCATTTGCTTATTTTCATTGTAGTTTTATTTATTATTACTTTTGGTCAGATTTTATTTATTTCTGTGACTACATTGGGTCCTTATATTAAACGAGGGGTACCAACAGTTTCGTCCACCTGTGTATGTGGATAGACGTAGTTTTCATTTTTAATAATTTCTTTTGTTTAATTGTAACACTGCCTGTGGTGTACTTTCTAATGAAACTTTGGAGGCCAAAAATTGATTATGGCTAAACGTGATGATTATGTACTGAAGGTTCATATACTCTGTGTAATAGCCTGAATGCTCAAATGTGTATTTTTCCTCAAATTAGTGTGAATTACAGATATGAGCAAGGAATGAATCTCTAGTGCACACTGATGTTTAAATAAAACATGTCCATTTAATACAAGTCTAGCATTCCACAACTTTAATTCATCCCCTTAATTGTATAGAATCACCTGGTATTTCTAAGCTCCTAATTATGCCACTACCATTCCATCAGGATCACTGCACACAAACTTCACAGGGAGCCTCAAGACGCGTGTGTTTGCATACCTACAGGTACATAGCCAGTGAATGTGACATCACCAAACTCCCTCACAGCTCTCTGATTTGGCTGCTGATTAGGTAATCCCATCCTCCTGTCAGTCAAGGCATTTTTTGCGGTCCAACACCCCTCATTAGGTGCATAAGCACACGGACAATCAGAATGTATGCAGTCATGCACACTGATTCACTCATTAGGTATCCAAGGATCCTCAAACCAATCACAGACCTAATTGTGGTGTTGAAGTGTGGCTGATATACCAATAGTAGGGGGAAAATGTCAGGAGTGGGACACTGGTGAGGCCGGGGCCTAGGATTGTTTATGTCTGCTGCCTCCCTGCCTGCCTACTGTTCCTTGCACACACACACTTTATACCTCATCAGATCCTGCAGAGAACCTGGCAGAACTCATCATGATTCTTGGTGGGGATGTTTGTTGGGGAGCTTGAGCTATTTTAGGCTCACTTAACTACTTTTTTTTGTCCCCTGCTCTTGTTTTTCACTTTTCCATTAACCTCGTTGGGTAGGAAACAAATCTGAAAAAGGTCAAATCTGCAGTTTGCCCTTTTAAAGTTGACCAAGTACGCAAATAGAATTTTAACTGACTAATTGGTGCTCTCAAATAGCACAGAGACAGTCTGGAAAATTGTATTCAGAGCCGCTGTGTTTCACAAATCAACAGTTGATTAAAATGTGTTCCTTTGTGTCACAGATCCAGAAAGAACAAAAACAAAAAAATAATAATGATTTAACATGGGTGTTCAGGCAGGACTGAAGGAAAGGAAAGGCTGCTTAAACCCAGAGAAGTGCTCATTAGTATTTGGTAATTGACATCAAGCTTTTTTTCCATGCTTCACAATTATTAGCTTATTCACAGCTCTGCACTTAAATAACCTGACAGCTAATCATGTTTTTTGTGAGTCAATGACGGCCATCATTACTTCAGTTTCCCCAAAATAATTTCACTGATTTGTTTATGTCATCTGCAACACCTACCACTGCTTCCCCATTATTAGAACTATTCATGCATTGTACTTCTTGTATTTTATGAGAAATTTAGACCCGCTTAAGTACTTACTGCAAATCATTATAATGACAAGTGTATCCCAAGAATTTTATACTCAAGTGTTAGTAGAAATCTTTATGAGAATTAGATGTATAAGGAGCAAAGGTTTTTTGGTCAATAGGAAACACTATCTTCATTTTTCTCTGAATGCAGTATATTTTCATCGATTAATCATTTTTCTATTTGTTATGTGGCATTTATGAAATTTTATAGCCCTGGGTGATTTGAGGACAGCTATTAATGTGGTTCCTAGGCTAAATGCAGGGACAATATTACAGTAGCAGCCATTTAAAATGGCCCTTCCCAGTCAAACACCAGCCAAATGGCAGCCAACTTCCAGCCACTGGAGTGACCCCCTCCTTCTCCTGGGCATTCCCTTTTTGTATACCCTGACTCCAACATCTCACTGAATGACAGAGTCTGAGCATGAGATAGCACTTCTCTTTAGATCTTAAAGTCTACAAATCATGACATAAAGAATATTTTAGTACAAAGATTGATGTTTTAAAAAGGAATCTTAGGGATCCAAGCAAGGACCAGCAAAGGACCAGCCAAGGGCCCATCGAGGAAAGTGGGGAAATTTTGACTGAGAACTACTGTATATCCAAAAATATACAGTTTGTTATATAATGTTTTTTAACAAGCAACCATTAAAGAACATATTCTCCTAGAAGTAAGAATATATTAAACAAAAGTTTATCCTATTTATCAGATTGGGGAATCTGAATGCATCTAGACACCCTGTCCTCAATTGAATTGTAACATAAAAAGGGCTGCATTTGAATGCTTGTTGCAGATTTCCCTTTGTTATTTCTGAAAAGGTTTGAAGGTTTTCATTGTTGTTAGCCTCTCTATATTGGTAGGAGGAAATATTAAAATAAATGTTTAATCGCAGGGCTTAATTGGTTCATACTGTAATGATAAAATAATTTTGATTAATTCATGTTTTAATTTCTAGAGTTTGGTGAGAAGTTTGTTAAAAAAATGATTGGATCAATTTTGTGAGGCATTTCTGTATTCTGCACTTTAGTTACCTCTAAACTCAGTCAGCTTTGCCTTTAGGTGTGTTTTTTGCATCTCTGTTTCTTTTTTTTCTCTCGTTTGGAAAGTTAAAGCTTTGCATAGCATAAATTGATTTTAAATGATGTCATTAGTGGATCATTGCTGTTGCTTTTGAATCACGGTTGGTTTCTCCAGTGGTGTATACAGTAAGTTTGACATAAAGTATATAACACTTAAGAACCATAGTGCTTATGTGGCAACATTTTTATCCAAAAGAATTTACAGTAAGCAGGCTTATCTTGAAATGGCATTGTTTATCCTACAGTGTTAAATGTTTAGAAAGA